AAATGTATTTTGTCTACTCACGTTTTAACGCTGAGAGCAGTTTCTCTTCCATTTTTGGCAATTTTTTTTTTGTGTAATTGAGGCTGAGCGGTTAATAAAAAGTAAACTGTGAAATAACGTATGGTGGTAAGTTTTTTCTTAATATAAAAAAATATTACCATGAATTCTACTAAAATAAATGTGTCGGAAAAATGCAGTTTAACTTTCTAACACGCTCTAGTTTCGAATTTAATCACAATTGTTATTGTTATTTATTATAATATTCCGCGTGTGTAGGATATTGGATATACTCTAGCGGCTACAAATATTTGAATACTTGTAAATAATAATTGTATACCTTTTTTTATAAAAGTTTGTGGAATTACATCTATTTGCCAAGTTTTATTGTAATCGTTTAACGGAAGGTGAGTGAATTCCAATAAACCGGATTCATCCCCTAATTTACGTACGCCTAATGTACGCCACTCTTATGTATTTTCTTTTTCAAGCACACCGTGAAGTCAGAGAATGAACATGAGAGCTACAAAGGGCCCGAAACGTTGGTTTGTTTTAAAAAACAAATATACGTGATTTAGATCCGAAAAAGAAATTAAAGTTTCAATGAGTAAGAGCATTTGCACACTACGTCCGATTCGTGTCAAAGGTTCTACTCTCGATCTCCGTCCGACATCCGTCCGAAACAATTACTGTCAAATAAGTAATATTCGACAAAATTAAAAGAAAAATATCAAGTATGAAGCTTCATTCGCATCACGCGTCTTTTCATTTGGTCAAGTATTGCTTATTTGGCAGTAATTGTTTCGGATGGATGTCGGACGGAGATCGAGAGTAGACCCCCTAGTTGCGAATCCGAGAAATGATGGTTCGAAATGTCACAGGGATTATTTTATCTCTAGATGAACAAGCTATGTTCGAATTTTCTCGGATTCGAATTGGATTAAACCGATCTCTAAGGTGCAAAAGTGAATAAATCGAATACGAATCGGATGCTGTGCGCACACGCGCCAATAGTCGCAGAAACATACGAACTCGATTTAATAGATCAAATCGATGCATCCAATGAACACTGCTACAACTTTGTTTTTTATTTTTATTTTTATAAACATCCATATTAATTTACTTATATTATACCCTCCGAAATTTGTGAAAAAATAAAGAAACAAAATTCCCAAAAAAAAAAAGATAAAACGAATTGCGCCAAAAAAAGGAAACCAAAACAAAATAAAAACAGAACTGGTTCAAAAATTAAGTTGGCGTAGTGTTCATTGGAGGTATCGAAATGTTTATTAAATTATTTCAGTATTTTCTGATGTGTCAAGAAACAACAAATAATAAGTTTCTACGGTCAACTTGTGACATGCACTTTTTAAAATTTTCAGCAATAACTTCAAAATTTGGAAACCTGTTCAAAGACAAGATGAAGATAAATATATTGAAGAGCCCGTCCTAACAAGCAGTATGGAGGATATAATTAAAAGAAATCAAAAGCAACAATATAGAACAGGAGAGCCAATTGAAAAGAGAGAGAAAGAATGGGAGATAAATAAAGATTTTATTAAACGTGCAAATTTACATCCAACGACTGTACGTAATCCAAATACCATTAACCTTAACGAAGAGGACAGAAGAAGAATTGATGATTTTTTTCGTAAACGTAAACAGAGTGAAACATTGGATGGTTCTACCAACGATATGCCAGTTAATCTTGCCGTATATCTATCGTATATCAGTACGAAACCAATAATAACCTTTCAATCAAGTACATTGAATTCCGTTACTATTGTTAAGGAGTATGATCTAAGTACTTCCCAACCAATTCGTATAACATTACAACCAGAACATCCGGATGTGTTTAAGGTTAAAATAAAAACAGTTAATCGACTTCTTTCAGAACTTAAATCGCAGTTTGCTATTGAAGGAAATAAAATAAAACTGACAGACCTCGAAACTTTTCTTAATCACAGGGTTATTCCGTTGATAGAATCGAATAAGATGGATGATACGTTTGTGTTTTGAGAAATCATTACCACATAAAAAAATTGTTATAAGGAAATTGATGTCATAAAGTAAAGGAAATAATAAATGTCCCGAAAAACAAATGAAATGGCAGCGATTTGAAGCTAACTATAATACTAAGCTGCTTTAAAATGAGTAACTGAAAAATAAACACAGAATATACAATGACATTTAGGATATACATACGACAAAATTAATCATATTTTTGCTGCAGTAAATATGCTGCAATTAGCTTGTTCAAATTTCATTTCTTCGGAGAAAAACTTTATTTTCAAATAACAATTATTCCTGTGTGACAGGTATAAAAAAATACTTATAAATAAAAAAATAAACACTGATTCATAAATATCATTCACTTTTTAAATGCTCAATTGTAATGAAAACAACTACTACCGTTCTGCCAACGATGCTTCGTGCGAGCTTCGAACGCGGCGCCGTCTTAACAAATTTTATTTTTATTTTTTAAGCTGGCCACTCTACGGCGGTGTTCAAGGCTCTGCAGCTTCGCCTCCTGTAAGCCTCTTAGCACACTTGTCTATTGAATTCAAGGTGGCCAGTTGGTATTTAGCAGAGCCATCTCATAAATGGAGCAGCAGTACTCCATATACGATCGGACTTGTGCTAGGTACAACTGAAGCAACTGTTCTGTCCCGGTGTGAAGTAACGCCTCACCTTGGAAAGGATGCCAGGCTTCCTGGCTGCATTGTTTGCCTTAGATTCAATGTATCAGCCCAAGTTCAGATTCGACGACAGGTCCATTCCAAGTAGGTGAAGACGGTCGGCTATCGGTATGGATGTATCACGAAAATTCGGAGTCAGGTGAAAGGGACTCCGTTTAGTGGAGAAAAGACACGCCTGCGTTTTGGTAGCATTAAATTTGACAAGATGGGCATCGCCCCAATTGGAGATTGCCTTAAGTGTCAAATTCAAACGACTAACCATGGATTCTCGACAAGACTGGATTTCTTCTCCACTGACCCTTGCATTGGTCAAGTACTTGTCCACAACTGTGCTGTCATCAGCATACACAAAGGTACCTGGAATCAACATATCATTTATATGCAGCAGAAAGAGGGTTGCGGAGAGTACAGAACCCTGAGGAACTCTCTCGGGAAATCTATCGCCCGATATTCGGAAGAGTAGCCTTCTAAGAACACTCGAATCGAACGTTCATTCAATACATCCGAAATCCAATTGCAAAGGCTAGTGGGAAGCCCATAAGAGAGAAGCTTGCTTAAAAGGCTTGCGTACCAGACCCTGTCAAAGGCCTTAGAAATGTCTAAAGCCACTGCAATGGCTTCGCCATAAGTCGCTCCATAAGTGAGAGGCGTACACAAGAAGATCCCCAGTAGATCGCCCTCTTCGGAATTCGTACTGGCGATCACTGAGGAGATCGTTGTAGTCACTCTAAGGGCCTTCGATCCAAGAAGCTAAGGGTGATCCTACTGTTTTCACAACTTGAGTGATGTTCCTTTAGTAAATATTGAATTTAAAAGGAATACAATACACTTGCAAATCATTCGGAGTTATCCTATTTTGAGACCAACAATGTATAACAGTCGACACATTTCTGCAATAAATGAGTTTGTCACCACATTTAAAATAAGCCATAGTTTATTTTCTAACAAAGTAAGTTGCAACTACATAACAGGAAATAGATTAGCTTAATCTACTCGATTTCCATATTAATGTTCAAGTTTCAAAATAGATTCCCTTTTCTTTTTTTATTCTCATTTTATTTAATCAAAACAGAAACTATGCAAAGAAAAGTAACTTTTCACTGTTAAAATAATTCATGGAGGGAGTAATAAAAACATATTTATCAAGATAATAAAACACATTATATTGACTTTATAAATAAATAAAACTTAAATTAATTACTAAGCGTATTCTTACACTACAACCTTAAAAGGTATAAATTAAAAAAATAGTAGCAAAATGCAAATAGTTATAACTAATTACGATTATGACTCGAAAAACAAATGTTTCTCGGGTATTTGAAATCTACAAAACCATTTCTGCAACTCTACATGCTTCTAAACTACTGCAAAATTGAGTATGTACTATAATTTTTTTAATGATAAATGTATACAAAAATATTGCTAGCAAATTCTACAAAAATAGTAACCCTATAGTAAAGTTGCAGAAATAGATAAACGTAGGCCTATAAGCACAGCCCTAATTATAACATATTAAATATCTTCACATTTTCGGTTTTATTAAAAAATAATTGTCACATTTTGTTCGCTAAAACATGCTAACTAGTGATCTTTAATATAGAAAATAAGAATAGAATTGAAATACTAATTTTCTATACAAAAAGAATTGTAATAGTTATTAAAATTAATTGAATTATTGCATTGGAACATTATTGACTTTGTAAAACTTCGAGGTTTACAATGGTTTGCAAATTACTAATAATCTAAGGCGCACACATATGTACGCACACAAACAATATGCAAAACATATCTACTGGAATAAGATAAAAATCTCAAAGTCAGTCACAAAAGGAATTCGTACCTTTCGACATCAATCATCATAATAAAACAAAAGAAATCTTTCTTAAGCAATAGTGTTTAGATAATCAATATTAATTGCTTAAGGGCACTTTCAAATTGGACGCTTATAGAAGCGCTGCAGTGGTGCGACAGTGGCGCTGCGACTGCGCTTGTATTGTATGCAAATTAGTACGTTTCTACTCAACGCTTCTATAAGTGACCGAAGTCTATAAGCGTCTAATTTGAAGGCGCCCTAAGGGTAAACGCAAAATGGACCTAAAACTGCGAGAACCTTCTCGACAAGTAAATTAAGCATTTATTATTTTTTCATATTTCCCACTTCAAAGCAGCAAGCTTTATTACATTCATAGCATATCCGTTCACAGCTTACTCCGCCAAGCTCCTTTCACTCCATCCATTCGAATAAATAATTACAAAAAGTACTAAATAGACGAAACTATTCTGGGTAATTTTAATTTGTTTTTTTTTTTTAGTATCCTCAAGACGCTTTTATAAACATTAAGAATGTATATGGACAAGTAGTTTTACACTTAATGTAAGATACCCTAATATTGGAAAGGGTATAACAAAATTTAATTTTCATTACCCCTAATGGGATGCAAACACAAAGCTTCATTATGCATTTTCTCAAAGCAAGGCACAACGGCACAGGCACTGTTGTCGCATAATTGTTGCTTATATAACTTTATAACGCATGTTCTTGTTTATTATCATACTATCAATCACAATACGTTCGTCATAAGTACATAAAATCACTAACTCGTTTTAGGCTACTATGTACTGTACATTTCGTTATTTAAAAAGGTACAGTGAAGCGTTGGTTTTCATACTATAGTGTTTGGGATAAATATACATGGAAAGTATTAAGATACGCTAAGAAATATAAAAAAGTACACGATAAAATTATGAAATACTTCTACGTAAGCTTTTCAAGTATGTGTATTCAAAGGTACACTCTTTCTGTAACAATATTAGTAAAATATTTTTATTTAAATACGTCACGGTCGGGCTCATATGAAAAATCAGAGTTTCGATACAGAATTTCGGTATAAATTTTCCATGACACTGATAGACAACGGTACCTACAACAAAAAATTCGATGCTTGAAAATAAGATGAAGAAATCAGGGAAAAAAGTAACGCTACAAAAGTAATAGTTTCAAAAGAAAAATAAGATTGGTAATAAGAAAAAACGTTAAACAATGGCTTTTGTTGATCCGTTATAATACACCATAATTGCAATTTGGTTCATTTATAAAATACGAAAAAACAAACTCGCATTCAAACGAAAGATAACACAAAACGTTAAAAACAACAACATTCATTGGCTTCTGTACTTTTTAAAGTGTTTTACCGCGCAATAATGACCATCGCGCTGACAGCCATGATGGCGGAGTTGAAAATGATTTTGCTTGTATGTGCTGCAGCCATTGTTACCGACGGTATACCGTCGATGTTCTTGTAGTGACAAGATTTTTCGACGGTGTCGTTGTTTATGATCTCCGTGTAGTTCGGGAAAGTAATGATTTGAATAGGCTGAAACAGAAAAAAAAGAGAAATTACTACATAGTACCATGTTAATGTTGATAGTCACCAAATCGTACAGCGCCCACCTAGCGATCCAAGGAAGAACTAAAATTTAGTTGTTCTCCAACTGACTCACACTAATTGAAATATATTTAAAAGAAATAAATATTAAACTTTAATTAATAAGGTATTGGCTATGTTGTCATAATTACAGTATTTTGTCAACTTTCGGGTAATTTTAGATTGCATCTTTTATAAAAAATCCTGTCTTTATGAAATACAGCTTCTAAGTGTCATTTGTTATCAAATCTCTTCGTTATCAAAACCGTGTCCATACAAAGAATTTTGTAAAGACCGAAACAAGTGAAAATCACGAGGGCTGATGTCGGGCGATTATAGGGGATGAGAATACATATTCCAACCTGACTGCAGTAGTTTTTGACGGCTTTTAAAAATGTGTGTGGTTTGGTACTACTATGGTGAAATACGATACTTTTACGATTCAACAGTTCTGGGCGTTTTTCATAAATTAAATTCACCGGATTTATTTCAATTCAAATTAGCCGGCTGCCTATTCTTAAAATGTATAAAATGTTATGCGTAAAATGTGTAAAATGTCATATTTAAAAGGACCATAGACAATAACATTTTAAAAGAAAATGTTTTTTTTACTCTTATTTATTTAGGGACTTTGATCGTTATTGAACATGTCAGCCCCATTAGAAAAACAATACCCCAAGAAAACACTATTTTTATGTTTAAAGTTAGCTAGTGACTTTTAGCCAACATATTACTTCCTATTCTGGATACTGGTTCTTCAATGTTAACCTATGTATAAGTTGGATTCGGGCTGCTAAGTCTCATGAAATAGAGCGTATTCATGGTTGTATGGAATCTTCTTCGCCTCTATCCCATGTCTACTACTGTATATAGAGTATAACTTATGTTGTTGAAAACTCACTGCTCCCCAAGTATCATCGCGGTTTTTACAGAATGTCATGTGCATGCCCTTGTAGAATGAAATCTCGATCTTCTCAGTGAGCAGTGGCTCCGACCAAGGCATCTCGTTTAGATGGGCCATGAACGTTTTGTTGCGGAACTCCGGTGGTTCACGAATTATCAGCTCCTCTGGAAATGCAGGAAAAAAATTTTCAATTAAAAGACTGTTGTGAATGAATCTTTGAATTTTTTCTTTAGTGTACTTTCTCAAATATCACCTTTTCAAATATTGGTAAAACATACTTAGCATTATGAAATAAATTGTCATTGTAATTTCTATAAAGAATTTTCAATTAATTTATTTACAAATTCATTCATATATTTAAATAACGAAAAGTGTTTATTTAACTGTGCTACAAGAAGGTTGATATAACACCAGTTTTTTTTAACCCCGTCTACGTTTACTCCCCTAATGATGAAAAGAGGAAGGAAAATCGTGTAATTTCATCGCACATGGATGAAAATAAGATTTTATAAGATAATATTAAAACAAAAACTTACTCATTAATCCAACACCTTGATCGTCGCCCTGCATTGCACCTTCTTCAGGGTTTCTTCTCATTTCAGAGTCTAATTGCGAAGGTAGCAGATTGTCTAGATTTCTGAAACGTTCACAATAAATAACACCTTAAACTCTCGTACATTTTGAAATTATAGCTACGTAAACTAATTAAAATTATGGCAGTAAGATTAAGTAGTAAATATATACAAATTCTCTAAGAAAACTTAAACAATTGTTTACGTATTGCATACACACAGTGGCCTTTAATGACTGACAGATAAAGTGTTTCGTTGAAGTCAAAGAACGGAATTTCCTGTACTATGAATAACGATTAAATATAAAACTGTTTGACGACCTTTGTGGTCGAGTGGCTTGCACATCGGTTTTCACAGTGTCGCCATCTCTGAGGGCCCAGGTTTGATTCCTGGCCGGATTAATGTGGAAAACTAACTTTTCTATATTGTCTCCGGTTTTGGTTTCGATTTCCCTAATGCAAGCGTTTTAAATAGTTACTTATTTTGGGATAAAAAATGGATCAAAACATGCGATGTTGTCTAATATTTATCTAATATTATTTATTTACTACCAGAGCAACGGAATTCACTGAGGGGCACTTCCTAAAATACTCAGAATAGAGCCGATTTGGAAATGTCCCATATTGGTCCTACCGGGAATCGAACCCGGTACCTGTCCATAGGAACAGGCACTGTGCCAGACAGCTTCCACAGAGGAAAACGTTGGATCACCGAGGCAATAATATAATATAAGAAATATGTACAAAGATTCCCAACTTACCCATTAGATAGGAAAATGTTCTCAACTTGCAAAATGCTGAGACCGTAGAATTCTCTGACGCCGAAGGTTTCAAAAAATTCTTTAACAGGAGTCATGGAGTAGCACCCAGCGAGCTCCGTACGAGGGTAGTACAAAATGAATGAAAGGCACATTTCCTGAAAAAGAATACATTATTAGGTTTGTACTGTAGCGATAATGAACAGGTTGGTACTGTGAACAGTGATCATTTGTCATAGAAATTTGTTCGAATAGCATTCAAAGTAATTTAAATTAGGGACTGTTTATACACCCAAATCTATGTATCTTACATATAATATGTCGTAGTCTAAACGACAAACAGAGAGAGATTTGGACGACTAATAAGACAATTAATGTCAATTTTTTTTGTGTAAGAACAATTTTAATGCTTAATAATAATAATTTGTTCTGTTCTAAATAAAAATAAGAATTTGAAATTGAATTGAATTGAATTGAAATTTGCTTGTAATTTGAAATCAGAAAAACAAACCATTAGAAATAACACGAAGAAATGCAAAGGACTGACAATTTAAATTTTAATCCTTTCGTAATGCAGAATTTTAGGGTAAATTAGCTCGGCTAGTGGCAATACTAGAGGCGTTTTGTTCAAGGTCAAAGAATAGCGTGACAGCTTTTAGAACAAAGAATAGATTTTAGAATAGCTAGTACATACTATTCTTACCTGAGATGCGGAGTATCCACCCAATATGGGTTTCTCACGCGAAGTACTGTCGTAAGTACATTCTGTGATCAAAGTGTCTCCTTTGTAGAACTTCCTGCCGCCAGGAACGACACGAGATTGCTGGTACCTTGCGTCGTAGGAATTTTCCTGATAAATGTAAAATCACTTCGGAATAATTACAACAACCTTTCCTATCACGTCATTTGCATTTCTGTTTACCATCTACGAAAGCATGGATTCAATCAATACCTTGTATTACCCAGTACCAAACGTCTTGTTTAAGCAAACCCTTATCCCTATGCATAATATTCCTGATTTCTATTACTGCTGACGCCATCTAGTAACATCAAGCGGAAGTATTTAGTTTCTATTATGTGGCGACATCTAAGCGATATTTAAAGAACTATTGAACGAGTCCAAATTCTGAAGCATTTCAAGTTCCATGACACTACTACAGATGGCGTTAATAGCAACTTATTAAAAAGTGTATGTTTACCTCCGAGATCCTGGGTAATTCTTGGTTGCCCCTAACATGCTTCAAAGAAATCTTTCTCGCTGTTCCGTGAGCGTGGAGAAGAACAGACACGATGTTGATTCCTTCTTCTGGCATAGTCTGAAAAATGAAAAAGTTAGGTTAGAGTTAGTCTTTGTTTTGCTTTGATTGGCTTTTTCTGTTTTCTTTTGTTATATGAAGATACTAACACTGTTAGTACATTCCGGGCTGCAAATTCCGACTGTTTTGTATTGTCGTTGTTTAGGCGGGATAACGTGTAAGGCAGAAATTCCAATCCCGGCTCCGAGTAATGCTGCGTCATGGGCTCGTAGTGATGGGGTGTAGTGGATTCTTATTCCAGAGCTATCCAGCACTGAAAACAAATACATACGTGGTTGGAAACAATTATTTTTGATATTTTTGTTAGGATAAAATAAGTGCGCATTTAATTTTGAGCTCCATCTCACCTGATGGAAAATGACGATGAGGTCGACAATGGAACATGCACTCCTAAATAATGCCTATTCAGTTGGGCCTTGAAACTTCCCAAGTATAGTGCTCAGAGCATAAGTCAGCAGGTAAGGAATTCCATTTCATAGCCGTTTGCCACGTAAATGTGGAAGCGTAACGTTTCCATACATGATATAGAGGTGGAACTCTAGTCTACGTCTAGTCCCCGATGATGGAATGGCGGAATGAAACGATGAAATTCAATCGCAGGATTTATCATGGAGTGAGCGAGCATGATAAATCCTGCAGAATACCGATAAGCGGGCAACTTTACGGCAACGTCCCAGTTGTGCAGCTTCGCCTCTCCTAAATCCGAGTTATCTATAAGCCTCTTGGCACACTTTTTAACTGAATCCAAGGTGCGCAGTTGGTATTTAGCAGAGCCATCCTATAGTTGGCAGCAATTCTCCATACACAACCGTACTTGTGTTTGGTACAGTTGAAGCAATTGTCCTTAGAAAGGATGCCAAGCTTTCTGGCTGCATTTACATATACAATATTATGATGGACAATAATTAAAGTACAATATTAGTTGAATGAGACATCTATTTGTATAGGTGCAACAGAAAATAGTCAACGATAACAGGTCGTAGGTTCACTTGTTATTAACACTAGTTATTAATAAAATATAAACGGGGAAGAAAAAGAATATCGTGATAAAACTGCACGTGGAAGAAATTTCACAACCCTAGGATAACGTGTAAGTCCCTTTACGGTCCCATTAAATCCTAAGATCTGTGCCCGGCGGTGATAGATCCGGGAGACCGATGTACTGGCTGACAAATGACGTCCTCTTAGCGGCCTTTAGCTGCTTTGTAAATTTAAGATAGTTTAAAATAAATGTTAGATTGTAGTCAATTTTGTAAAGTGATCTTCTTTGATATTTGTCTCCTTTTTTCTTGTATATTTAAGATTTACTTTAATTTTAAGTCTTGTTGGACGCTTTGGTTCAGACAGTAAGTCCACAAGAACGTTTCCTTTATAAATAAATAAATAAAACAAAATAAATAAATAATGAATTGATTACGACGACGCGATGGTACAATTTCATTACATGATTGCACTCATTATAAAAATAAGGTTAACAAAAAAGTATATACGTGAGTATAATTATATTCAGTTCCATACAAAAACCTTTATGCGGAAATGGAAGATATTTTTTCCGATTTGTGTGTATTGCGCCATAACAAATTACCATTATAGGTAACATATCACACATGACAACGAACATATGTAGTATTATCACAAAAATTGCGTTATCTTATATTTTGCCTCAAATATGGCGTTATATGTATTTCATTCGTATACAGTTTAATTTCAAAGTAATACGGTTGTCCTACCACTTTGAAATTAAATTGTATACAAATGACGTACATATAAAGCAACTTTTGAGATCATATTATGTAAGTTGTCATGTGCGATTATACAACCAGAAATAGAGACTAAATGTCATTTAATTTTTTTGAAAACTATTCTGCCATATCATTACTGTGACAACTGCGCTCCGATTGGCTAGCCCGAGTTCGAAACAATTGACGGGTGTCGTCAATGGGTGTGGTCAACTGTTTCACTTCAAATCGACCAGTAACTTGAGTTTTGCTATAATGGAGGAAAATTGCAAAATTACTTATTTAATATTTAATTACCGATGAAATGTGATTCCGTTTGTTTTGTAATTAGATGTTTTGCTGTTTTTCCCATACCACCGAGATATTATCTTTATTACCATAAATACAGAATGTTTTTTGGAATATACGGAAACGTACATACATGTCAGTAGTTGGTCTGTCTATATTTCAGTACAAACGGGAGTTAATATTTATAAGAGCTGTATCGCTAATGTGTTACCAGGAATATATGGCCCTTATTTCGTCTCTATTTCTGGTTATATACTCGATGTGCGAGATATATAAATATATACGTAATTCCTTAAACGTCAACGACATACAAACATACCGCCCTATAGCTAACGCAACTACGTGAAATCGAATACCCTTAAAGTAATCCCTAGAGTGCATTCACATCACGTTTTTGTCCTTACCCCTTTTCACCCTTAATGACCTAATACCGTTTATTATTAAACGATGTCCCTTAAATGTTGAATAGCCAAAAGATTGCGTTACATGGTGAAACGTGACGTTTAAATGTTGCAAGTTAGTTATTAGTACGTTTTATAGCCGAAATTTAAAATTAGAAATAACAAACTGACAGCTACTCATGTCAATCTGCAAAATATTGTTGCCATCTTTATTGTATAGTGACATGTTTGGTTCAAGTTTCAATGAACTCGTAAAAAAAAGAATCATTAAGAAAGAAACGTTAAACACAGAGTTGCTAGGTTTTGCGCGATTGTTACACATTTGCCTTTCCCTAGCAGTTGCAGTACCACTCAGAGCTTTAAATCGCAAAGATCTTAGAACGTTTACACACGGCGACTATTAGAAACGATACAAATTTATCCGAATACATAAATAAGTAAATAAATAAAAATACTTTTTTGTTTTTTTTTTTATATAACACCAAGTGACGGGACGAACAAGTCGTGCTCCTGATGGTAAGCTTACACGTCTGTCCATAACAGTTGCAGTGCCACTCAGAGCTTTGAATTGCAAAAATCTGAGGGACACTACCACTGCGCCCGTCACCCTGAGACATTAGCTGACAAGTCCCGTGTGCTTGTAAATTCACCAGCATCATTAACATTCCAAACTGGAACGCAGTAAACGTTTACATTACTGCTTGGCGGAAAAAATAGGTAAGGTGGCAGTACTTCCCTGGAAGAACTCTTTCACAAAAAATACTGTTATTTACACTGAACATTTTATACTGCATCAATATAAGCACTACGGTACAAAGAAAAATAGTGATATTTTTGTATACGGTAATATTTCAGCACTGTCTATGAACGCGTTAAGAATAATATAACTGAATAGTTTATTTATTAAAAAAAAAATTATTTACCTTGATGACCTACTAAGGGAATCGGCTAAGTCTATCCTTTATTTCTATTACATCAAAAACTAGTAACCCACTAAATGTCAGTTTACTGTCTTTAACGAACAATCCGACAAATCACAGCATCATCGCTTAAAGGCTTTCTTAAATTTAAACCAAAAAATGTTGGGATTCCAATTATTTCCGAATCCGAGAAAGGACAGTCCGAAATGTTAAAGGGATCATTTAATCTCTTGATATACAAACGATATTCGTTTTTTCTTGGATTCGGATCGGACTTAGTGCACAAGCGAAATCCGAAGTAGTTCGAGATTTCTAGATTTATATAGTCTCGGATCAGGGGGTCTACTCTCGATCTCCGTCCGAAACAATTACTGCCAAATAAGCAATACTTGACCAAATGAAAAGACGCGTGATGCGAATGAAGCTTCATACATTTCGATACCTCCAATGAACACTACGCCAACTTAATTTTTGAACCAGTTCTGTTTTTATTTTGTTTTGGTTTCCTTTTTTTCGCGCAATTCGTTTTTTCTTTTTTTTGAGGATTTTGTTTCTTTATTTTTTCACAAATTTCGGAGGGTATAATATAAGTAAATTAATATGGATGTTTATAAAAATAAAAATAAAAAACAAAGTTGTAGCAGTGTTCATTGGATGCATCGATTTGATCTATTAAATCGAGTTCGTATGTTTCTGCGACTATTGGCGCGTGTGCGCACAGCATCCGATTCGTATTCGATTTATTCACTTTTGCACCTTAGAGATCGGATTTATCCAATTCGAATCCGAGAAAATTCGAACATAGCTTGTTCATCTAGAGATAAAATAATTCCTGTGACATTTCGAACCATCATTTCTCGGATTCGCAACTGGGGGTCTACTCTCGATCTCCGTCCGAGATCCATCCGAAACAATTACTGCCAAATAAGCAATACGATAATGCGAATGAAGCATTTAATATCATACTTGATATTAAAAGAAAAATATCAAGTATGAAACTTGATATTTTTCTTTTAATTTTGTCGAATATTACTTATTTGACAGTAATTGTTTCGGACGGATGTCGGACGGAGATCGAGAGTAGCCCCCCCAGGTACGAATACGAATCGCATGCATTGCGCAATCGCTCTGAAAGACACTTTAGCGTGTGCAAAATTAGACATAAAGCGTATGTAATAAGTTAGAATTCACGATATTTTTTTTCAGTTTCCGGTATCAAAAAATTTTACTTTTAATTGTAAATTCTGTCTTATTTACATGTATTTTGTGGTAAATTTTCACGTCTTGAAACGCTAATAAATAAAAGGTTATTTATTTCGATTACTACCTTAACTCATTAATATTCAAAAATATTGAAAAATAAGACATCATATTATTTATTATCAGATTCTGTCAGAATTTTTGAATACCATTGCGCACCAGGAGGTAAATTATATCTACAGCAGCCAAATTAACATATACAACGAAATCTAATTAAAAGTTTCAAGTAGGAAGTACGCCTTCAGTTCGGATCTAGGACGTGGTTTATTCGCCCTAGTTTCGGATTGATGGGTTGTGGCCTAAAATTCTGTGTTGGCATAAACACCAACCTCGTGTTTGTACTTTTAAAAAAGAAGAACCATGATATTCGTTAACAAAAAACCAAAAACAAAAACACAAACAGATCTGCAACAAACATATGTATAGAGAAATTCGTAACTCTGCTGGTTCGTTTACGGTATGCGGATCGAAGGAATTTTTATGTGTTCGGCCTTTCTATTAATAATAACAAATATGAAGCAATTTAAATTTCCTCACCTTCATGTAAAGCTTGGTTGTCGTAATGAACCTCGAGCATATAGTAGGAGACGCCTGCCTTCTCACCCAGCGGAATGCCCACGTTTTCAGGCAGGAATTCGCCTGAAATTCGGTAGTTCATTAATTAACGCATGAGGATTAAAGACGTTAATGGATTTTCTACAGTAACGAAGACAAGTATTGAAAATGACTTCATGTTTCGCTTATTTTTGACAAGTAGAAAATGAACGAATTAATGAATAAAATTTTGTATATGTTGGCGATTACACTGTTTTTTACCTCATTGTCTATTATTTTTGCTTGTTAGTGGAAATTCGTAAATGCCATTGAATTACTCATATGTAAGTATACTATAATTGCATTATTCGTTCATGAATTGTCCTAAAATGTATAATAAATTAATTAATGACAACCTTCGTTATCGATTGGCTTGCACATCGGTTTTCAAGCTATCGCCATTTCTGAGGTGCCGGGTTTGATCCCCGGCCGGGTCAACGTAGAAAAAGTAACTTTTCTATATTGTCCAGGTCTGGGTGTTTAAGGTACTATCGTTGTTTTGCGATTTCCATAACATGTGCTTTACTTATTTACTTTGGGAACAGAGCAACGATGTACCTGTGTGATGCGACGAATTAAAAATTACAATATCAACACAATAATAGTTAATGATCGTATGTTAGAATAAGTATAACAGGCGGCCAAATTGCTCAATAGTAATTTTATTGCAGAAAATATCAGCGTAGAAAATTAGGAGATAGTAAATGTTAGATATGATTCGTTTGACACTGTTATTTTGTAGCAATCAATGTTCTACTATTATCAAATGACACTTTAAAGTTGAAATAGTTAGATATACTCTACATACATTTACATTTATTCATATTTTCTGGTAACTTAACGATATAACATTTAACTGCCTTCATGGCCGAACGATATACCATGCCGGACTGCCACGCAGGGGTCCCAGGTTCGATTCCCGGGCCGGGAGAAATATTTGTATGGCCTACATTTATTTCTCTCGTGAGTTTGAGTGTAATTTGTGGTTGTCTATGTGTGTGTCCATGGCACCCGCGACACAGGGTTTCCCTAGTGAGGGGCTATGTTGAGTGTGTGCGTTATTATTATTATTTTAACAATAACGTCCTAGATTTACATTTGTGACATTTGAAAACTTTTTAATCTAAAATACAATAGAGATCTCTTTTAGAGATAACCACCTTTGGTCAGCTTTTATTCATTTAATATTTCTGTTATATTTATTTGCTGCGATGAAAAATACACAGGTTTAAATCAAATCCAGAACAATCAATTAGGTTGAAAAGTTTATAAGAACGTTAACTATTAATAATATATGACATACAAGGTTATAAACCAAACCGAGTACCAGTAGGTAAAGTACAAAATGACATAATTATTTTATTACTTATATACACACGGCAGCACATCCAGCTACACATTGACGGATCTCGTTGCGTGGCAATATTCGAATAAAAATGTAGTTTGATGTGCTTTTTTGACTGTACCTAAGTACAAGTTTCCATGTTCCTCCCTGTTTAACAATGGCTATTCCACTACTAAGTTTTTATCTATGGTAGATATTTTAAAAAGGAATTGGAATTGTACAAGTGCAATGGCACATTACGTAATGTGCCAGACACTCACACCTAATTGCCTTGTCTCAAACTAGGGAATTCCCTGTACTGTAAGTACCAGTTTGACGGAATTCACTCTGGGGCATTACCCAGAACACCCAGACCAGAACCAATTTAGAAAAGTTAATACCCCAAATTGGTTCTACCGGGAATCGATCCCGGGACCTCCACATCGCGCACTCACAGTGCAAACCTTTGCACGGTCCCCAAATGTTAAATTATATAACTTTCTATGTATATTATATCTAATATTTCGCCTGAAAGATTTGGATGGTCCAAGGGCACGAAGTAAAAAAAGCCAAATAAATTTCACTCTGAAAGAGTTGGTCTTGTCAAAGTAAAAATAAGCCAGATTAATATTTAAAATAGGAAAATAACAACCCACAAATGTCTCGAAGGACATTTTTGTCTGTTGTAACGGTACTGAGAGGGTCAGGGTGGGGTGACCTTAGACAACTGTCGACAGATATTTCCGTCGGGCTGTAATGTACACCATTTCGTACATTTGTCGCTAAAAGCGTTGAAAACAGAATCACATATTCACAGACGACGTAAAGTGAGTCCACACGTCGCGTCTCCACAATTTACGAGTACTCTAAACGCAATCCGCGCCGGAAATTGCTCCTACATGTTTATTTTAGATCGTATATGTATGTATATTCCTTGATGTTCACATTTAGCACATGTTATCAGACATTTTTTTTATTTTTATAATTTTAAATATATTTGTTCTTTTTCTACAGACGACATGAGAAGAAAAAAATTTAGGTAGGTATAACTATTTATTTAGGGTAAACACACACTCATCGACGATAAGCCACGATTTATCCACATAAATCCTACGATTTGTACGTTATGCCTTTCACATATTTTCATTGTATATCGACACTAAAATTGCAGAAACGATATTAAAGGAAGGCTGGAGAAGGGTTAGTATCACAAAAAGTTAATATTTCAAAAATGCTGGAATAGTTAACATGGACATTAACCTACTTTAACATTTCAAAATGTCTATAATTAGAAGAGCAGGAAACAATAGAATTGTCAAATTACCTTTCGACCCGACTGCCCAAGCGGCGATGGGTGTCACACAAGCGGACCATTCGCTAGGTTTTTTGGGGCCAAAACTGCCGTCGCCTTCGGCCCACTCGTTCCACTGTTTATCGGGGTCTTCCGCACATTCGTATAGCACCATGTGGTGGACTGGCGAGGCTGTATTCTGCTCTATAATTGGACGTCCGTTTCTAATTGGTCGACTATCAATTAAGGGTTGGTAGCCAACGATGTGATGTTTTCTTTGAAGATCGGGCGCTTTGAAGATCTTACACCAGAAGAGCGTTGCCATATCATGCGGGATAGTAAGCTGATAAAAAAAAACATGTTTGTGAAATAAATGTTGCCCTTTATAACCTCTATGTTAAGCAGTGTGGGGTAGTGTTGGTAACAATACATTTCTGAGACTCTCAAAAGAGTATTTTAGAGAATTTCTAGTTCAAAGATAACTAAACTGTAGACGTTAGCTATCTTTGAACTTCGCAGAACTAACTGAATGTGTATATTTAGTCTAGCTTTCTATGTTATGCTTACTCTATAATTTATATTTGCTTTCGTGGATCTAGGTATGTGTATGTAATGTATGAAAACAACTTTGGTTATATTAATTGATATATCGAACGTCAGCATACGTGTCCAAGTCATGGGTCTCTAAAATAGAAAAAAGTCCTTAATAAAGAAGAAAAAAGAAGAACTAAGGAGAAAGAATAGGACACAGGCCACCAAGCCAGGTTTCAGAAGTTCGCACGTCTTTTAAGAACTATAAGAACCTTCGCCGACCTGAAACTCCATTGTGATGTTTTCCTTCATGTAAAAAGCGATTATTAGACATAAGTTTCAATAAACTACACATGATTCGAAATTATTCTTGTTTAGGCTTGGTTTAGGCTTCTACAAGCCTAAACAAGTTCCTGTAATCGAGGACGATATTTGAATCTGTTTTGAACTATCCCTCCTGTTCCTACTATATCAGCCCGAAGACAACAATGTGAGCACTCTCTATGTAACCGAACTTTGATCCTATATTGGATACAACCCAAACAATCACATGACTTTCAATACATACCATCTATAAATTAATGTTAGGGTCGTGGTATGTCAATTCCAGTGAAATTGTATAGTTTCAAAATTATAAGGGCTCGGAACTTTGTAATTTTCAACCGTAAGACTCAACTTTATGCCCAATTTCTCCCAAGCTAAATCAATAACCCAATCCTAAATGTTTGGCATTATAATGTTCGTGAATTAAATCCGGTGGAAGACGTAGTGTTTTGCCGCTAAAGTTCAACCTTATTTTAAAATGTTCCTCGTATAATAATATCACGTAACTATAAGATACTACATGGTGTAGCTGTCCTGATTCAATAAAGATTTTTATTATTGTTTCTCTAAGCCGATGATTCCCAAAGTGGTGTTTATCGACTCCCAGGGATCTACTCGAACCTGAATGGCAACGAAATAAATAATTGTGGGAAATGAGATGTAAACAGGGGTCCATAAGAGTGGACCCCGTTTAGGGAGGTCGTGGCCAAATAATAGTGAACATAAATATCTGTATAGCACCTACGTATTTTTAAGTTTCTCACTCTCCAGTTAAATGTTTCTAAGTGAGTAACACTGTATCAGCTGACAAAGTCACATCTCGTATATCTCGTATATATATATGAGTATCCAGCTAAGATATATGTATAGGTACGTCTCATATCAAATGCAATTAATATCATAGATTGGAACTACTGTGTGTAATTTAGTAGCGGAAACCAGGTGACAGGCGTGATGACTAGAATAAGTTATGTCACGGGCGAACGCACACTAAGGTTTATAAAGGCTGTTCTAAAAGAGTCCAATAATGCTATGTACCTAACATGAAAATATCCTTCCACGTCTTGGCGTATCGACTGCGAATCAAAATTATTTGGCCCAGTGTTCCAGTAATTCACTCCTGAATACGAAGTTCTGACACCTGTAGTGAACTATGACCAGAGTTAAAAACTTTTCTCGTCTGTACATAAAAATCTGACGTCGTTGCTAAGAAAGAGTATGAACAGTCAAATTTGTTATTCCCATAACCATTTTATTTCCGGCTAAACATATAAATAACCAGGGTTATATTTAGTGGCCCGTGTGCTATATAATGCCGGGGCACTCTAACAGCCCATCTTACGTTTTACTATACAAACAGTTACCGAGAAATCCTCGACTCTTAGAGCAAATAATTATACGATAATCTACCTATACACGCATCTAAAAGATAGCCCTAGAAATACATTTCACTCTACGTTATGCTTAATACCACACATATTGCAGAGAAACTTGTTATCAATTACATTGTAAAGAAGGAACATAATTTCCTGCTACTGAATCCTGAATCTGTAATACTGAAATACTGAATCTTTTTCTTTCTTTCTTGACATTTAAGATTTAAATTCAACTCTAAGCCGCTTACGATAAGAACGGATCACAGACCAAAGTATCAAGTTTGATGTGGTCTTGACTGTACAAGTGTAAAGATACATTACTAAATTTATAAAAGAAACAACAAAAAAAGAATCATTGTTTTGATTTGGTTTGGTTTGGTTACCTACATTCGTTAAGCGGACGTCCCAATGCCAAAGCGGTATAGAGTCAGGCTTCGATACTGGCAGCAGGAGCCTCAATGGTCTGGATCCGCTTTGAACGTGGGTAGGCAGCTCTCCATCGGAACCATCTGGTCCTAAAGCCCATAGTACTTGGACTGTGTCATCCTGTAATGATAAAGAATACTGATAAGTAGGTCAATTCTCATTAATTATCAAATAACATTCAACACGTCTGAGCGCTTTATCACCTATTTCGTATTTCTCCATTGACCTCTCACAATGGCATTTGTAAAACTAAGGAACTGATCGAAAAGTAGGCAACTATGTAAATAATTTAGTAGCAGTAGAGCTCCTTGTGAAAGAGTTCGTCCTGGGAAATACTGCCACCTTACTTATTTCTGCAGCCAAGCAGTCATGTGAGTTTTGTAGGTGTGCTGGTGATGGGATTTTTCAACCTATATCCCAGGGTGACGACAGAGCGTCACAGTAACTGTTATCGACTGACGTGTCCCTTACAACCAGGCGCATGTCTTGTTCATCCCATTACATATTATAATAAAAAAAAAACAACAGTACCATTTGGTTGCTTTTAGTGTGATTAAGTTATATGAATATTTAATTAGAAATCCAAAGCATTTTACTTATTACATTTATTTACTTGAGGTGGTACACGGTCATTCTTTCACACAAAAGTGTTTCCTCAAACGAATTCGTCCTAACTTTGCAGTTACCTAACAAAATAGCTATAGTTACCTAATACTATTGTATTATGATCAATTCTAGTATCCGACTTGCGCAAATATACAATTGTAACAAAATCACAATGTACGTACAACAATATGAACAAAGTTCAATTGCACACCGCTTTTATTAATTTATATTCCGTAAATATCTTCCGTAGACGAGTGGCAACCACCGGTAACGTTAACATGGTGGAAATCTCCGATATAGCCTAGTGCCCATCTAGTGACTGATTCCTTGTTTTGAACATGTGCTTTGTGATGGATTATATCTTGTAATCAGGTTGGTTTGTTAATACCAGTTACTGCACCTAGAGCCGCGTCCTAGACGAATGAGCATATGGCATCTTCGGCCGTGTATCGTATGGGATGTGGTGTTTCTGCTAAACCTCAAACACTGTATAGTTTGTTCACTCGGCAAGTTTGTTTTTTCCGGCCTCCGAGTTATATACAAAGCAATTTTTGAGCTTATATTAATATACTGTTCAAGTTATTTTTAAAAAACTTTGTTATTAAAAATATTTATTGGGCTCGATTGTATCATATTATAATTTAACACATAATTAAATATATGTATATATAAATAGAGATTTGACATAATAATGTTAGATAATTCAATAATTGTAAAAATTCTCTTTCGTAGCGCTATTCGTTTTTCAGTAAGAAGGATATTGTTGATTACCTGCGAGACAGGCTTTGCCTAGTGCTGGAATCATATGCAATTAATTATCTGTACGTGATATACGACATGTTGCAATAGAGTTGTGGTGGACTTGCTGGTTCTTGTCACAATTTAAAATGTAATGAACCTACGGACCTCCACAATGTCATTGTGAAATAAATGATTTTGTAATTTTTTTTGTATTTATTTTCATATTCGCACTACGGAAACAATGGAATTAATAATAACAATAAAGACATTTATTTATTTACCGTAGAGTAACAGTTGAGCTATTATTTTTGATTAAATCATGTAAATAAAAGCCGCAACCATTAGTGCTACACCATATTATAGAAACATATTAGTACGTAACACGTAACGAAATATTAACAAATGGTTACCTAAATAATGTTCGTATTCGAAACTTTTACAACAAAATAGTGTACCTGTACGTGTCTTACGAACCACTATGACTTGCAAATGTGTTCTCGGCCATTACAACTTCTTGTTTGCAACTGCATAATGCATGTAGACCGTACAAACCAAACAGACTAACTTTCGTATGGTCCGAACCCAATCAATAGCTGCATTACATATTGTGTATGAAAACTTCTTTATTAAGTCTTAAAAGTTTGTGAAACGTTGTTGTCAGCGTATTGATATTTTTTAAGGGACTCGAATTTCATAAAAGCTTTGATGACCATAACGTGCCTATACACACAGACTTGAATCTCATTAGGGTGAATGAACGTGATAACAAACAATTTACAGCACACAAATAATTGTCTATTCGTGAATAAATAAATTTCGCACACCATACAAATGTTCAACTGACTGCGGATATTCTGTGTGGGGGAATATCTTTTCCCCGCATTTCAAATATTTTATTTTACTAAAGCTTAGATTGGAAACAAGTCCGCGACGGTTCACCTTAGCGCGCTTTTAAATTAGACTCTTATAGATGCGCTGCAGCCGCGTCACTACTAATTTTCATCAAGTATCTGTCAAGCGTAGTCGCAGCGCCACGGTTGTGACCATGTTGTGACGCGCGCGTCAGTAACAATTAGTGAAGTAACGCTCGGCTGTAGTGCACAGTTGCGCCACTGCAGTGATTCTATAAGCATCCAAATCTGTCGCCTTTAGTTGAAAAGGTGCTTGCGACAAAAACTCACAACCCAAAAAATTATATTTAAAAAATCTACTTTTCTCTTGCGGTAACTTCATACCTTATCCACACAGGAAAAAATCGACTCATCCGTAGAACAATGATGTGATTATTAGCAAAAAGAGTAAAAGTACGTTTCGACAATAATTTCGTTATTCGAACTTAAGACCTAAGATATTTTGAGAATTTATGCATCTTATTTCGTTTCGGAAATATAAAATCGAACAATGGTCGATCTGACATCCACAGCGAAGAACGAACGAAATGTAGTATGTCCTGAAAACAAGTACTCTTGCACATAGATCTTTGTTCTACGGACGAGTCGAAATAAAAATAGTGACAGATCGGTCTTTTTTTATTGATCACGGTAGCATAAAATAACATTTTTTTTAAATGTCACGTGCGCCTTTTCAACTAATGGCGGCAGAATTTGAAGGCGTTAGGCGAGTAACACACAGCACCGCGCCCCGTGACTATGCGCGGGATGCGGAATCACGCGTGCGGTGGCGGACACGCAGTTCTGCGTCAACGCCCGGTATAATCTTCGCGGGGGTAGCGGTCTAGCGGCCCCGCGACACTTAAAGTACTCGCTTCGTAGTTGATCGCTGTAGTGATTGTACATGTATCTGAGATCCTTCTTTGTCAAGAATGTTTAATAATACAGAACTCATTCTGGACGTTGCAGTTATACTGTCCATTTGGTTTTTGTTTATTCAAATAAAAAAACACCGCAGATAACATTCAACTTCATTACAAAGATTTATGAAAATATGAAGGTTAATTTTTCAATTACACACGTATGTCAACTGAATCCTTTGATTACTTGTGGGACAATCCCAACGACAGTTACTGGAATAGACACAAATTGATTAAAAATTTGCGCGATAGTGCGAAAGCGCAGTGTGCCGTACCCTGCTGTTCGTCGTGCACCTCGGCACGGGAGCGCGGTGAAACCGAGTGCGCCGCGCTCCCGCGGGGGAAGCGTTGTCAGTGTGTTTGACGGCGCGTGTTTTCCACACAAACTGAGGTACTTCAGTACAACGTTAAAAACACAGCTCTGCGCTCCCTCGCGGGACGCGGTGCACTAACACTCAAATTATGAACATAAGGAATTCCAAATTTTTACTTAGCCGGGGAAGTTTCATGTATGTCCATTGCAGTTGCAGTACCACTCAAGGCTTTAAATCATAAAGAACTGAGAGGCGCACCTCTGCGCCCGCCCGTCACTTTAGGACATAAGTTGACAAGTCCCATGTGCCTGTAATTTCACAAGTAACCTTACCCTTCAAAACCGGAAGGCAGTGAAGCTCATATAACTGCTTGGCGACAGAAATAGGTACTGCCCTGGACAAACTCTTTCACACTGAGCTCTACTAATAATAATCTGCGCATAACATGGTATTACCATCCCTAATTACTTAAAGGGTAGTATTTAATTGCTCACCAAAGAAGCAAGTTTTTTCACATCCAAATATGCCACTTCCCCAACAAAAGTACTGATTGCACATCAAAATATGTACACCAAAAGAAAATTAATTTAGCATTATGTGCTAAAATTAATGCATAACATTTTATCGCAATATCTATAATCTAAATATTGGGGTTAAAGTATGAAATTGCCGTTTTATTGCAATAGGTTCTTTGAATTTTCATAGAATCTTCATGGTTTGAGGTTTTCGAATGAAACTTTTTTCAAATGGTTTCTGTGATTTTTTTTTTTAAATTTGAAACATTTGAATATCGACTTTCAATTGTTTTTGTTATTCAATTTAGACAAGAAAGATGGATACTGCGAAAATTCGAGTGATTTTTGAATACGAGTTCCGACGCGGAACTAACGCGGCGGAAACAGCCCGCAATATCAATGCTGCGTTTGGAGAGGGGTCTACTAATGAACGCACCGTGCGATTTTGGTTTAAACGCTTTCGTGATGGAAATTTCGACTTAAAGAACGAGCCACGAGGAAGACCGCCCACACAGGTGAATAACGATGAATTAAGAGAGATAGTGGAAGCCTATCCTAGTCAAACTACCCAGGAATTAGCGGCATGGTTTAACGTTACCTTACCCACAATATTGACTCACTTGCGTCAAATCAATAAAATAAAAAAATACGAAAAATGGGTGCCTCATGATTTGACTGATCTGCAGAAAGAAACGCGTGTTGAAACTTGTGTTGCCTTGTTGAACCGGTACAGAAATGAAGGAATATTGGATCGAATTGTAACATGTGATGAAAAGTGGATTCTTTATGATAACCGGAAAAGAAAAATGCAATGGCTGACCCCAGGTCAAATGCCACAACAGTGTCCTAAAGCAAAACTTACCAATAAAAAGGTAATGGTAACTGTTTGGTGGTCTCAGCATGGTGTTATTCACTATAGTTTTCTCCGATCTGGTCAAGCAATAACGGCAGATGTCTATTGTGCCGAACTCCGAACCATGTTGACAAAACTAGCAGTAAAACAGCCCCGACTCATGAATCGATCTTCACCATTATTGCTCCACGACAACGCGAGACCTCACACAGCACGAGAAACCATTTTGACCCTTCAGGAACTGCAGTTAGAAACCATTCGTCATCCTCCGTATTCACCAGACCTTGCTCCAACGGACTACCATTTTTTTCGTGATTTGGACAATTATCTACGTGACAAGAAGTTTTCTTCCCAGGAGGCAGTACAAAATGCTTTCACACAGTTTGTGCAGTCTAGATCGTCGGAGTTCTATCGCAAAGGCATTAATAACCTTCCCATTAGATGGCAGCAATGTATAGATAATAATGGCAACTATTTTGATTAAATAAATTTGTTAAAAATTTAAAAAATAAACAATTTAGATTTTCAGTACAAATCGGCAATTTCATACTTTAACCCCTATTACATATCTAATATTTCTGGCACACAACAAACGTATGACCACAAATTTATGAGAAAAAACCACTGACCACATAATTCTTCCGTGGAAAAAACATACCTATTTCACTAAAAGGTACATCAACCAGTCTATCGGAATAAAACACCATTTTATTTGACAAAATGGTCTAATTGTACAATTTGTCCAAAACAATAAGATCAATAAAAAAATGCACACAAACATTGCAAAAAAGTATTAGACTTTGTTGCAATGTTTGTGTGCATTGTTTGTGTGCTTGAACATCGTAATATTATTTTTTGTATTTGCAAGTAAAGGATTCGAAAGGATCAATTTTGTTTCAATATTATGAATTGCTTACAAGGAAATTTGCTCCAAACCTTAAAATAAAAAAAGCAGAAAATTAAAAAAAAATTCAAAACTTTTATTGAATTATTAATGCGAGTCTTGCTTTCGCAGGACGTCCACGCTTCCCTTTATCTTTGTCTGCATTTATAGTTTTTGGAAAAAATGATGGCAGTTTCATTTGCACAGCGTTCTAGCTTGTCCTTTATTCGGGATTATTGTACCAGACTCAACGTTGTATGCGAAAGAGCTAAAAAGTCCCGATTATTTTCAGTAAATCAGATGACATTTTTGAAATAATGTTAGGCAATATGTGTTCGTTATATCATAAATATATTTGTTGTATGTGATTCATTGTATAAACGAAGATAATTTGTGGCGCCACTTTTGAGAAAAATTACGGTAATTTTCTTAAAATAATTGTTATTAATTGTTATTTAACTCTAAAAGTTCATTTACTTTGATGTGCAATCAGTATTTTTGTTATGTAAACCATATTTTTGTTCATAAATGAACACTTTCGTTGTAAACTGAGAAATTAGCAGAGGTCTAGTTTTGATACATCTTTTTCAATTATTTTTGATGCTAATTTTGTTAGACTGTTAAGAAGTTTTGACTGTTGAGAAGTTTTGTTTGAGTTGTTTTATTCGTAGTGAAATATTTTTTATATGTGAAAGTTATTTGAATAATGAACATAATTTTATATGTATTAACTTTTCTGATATGCACTTAAATATTTCCCTTACTTAAATGCCAGTAATAATATATGTATAGGATTGTCTTCGCATTAAAAGTATTTAACCCGTGGACAGTATCAGCGTTTACCGTGAAATTAAACATCAGAATATGATAGTATTGGGATCCCTGTTTCGCTATATGGAGCTCAAAAAACCAACAGTCGGTGCCATTGAATTTTGTAATAATGTAACGATCAGTACAGCGTACTAAAAAAAACAGACCTTAAAACTTCGTGAAAGTACATCTATTCGCCAAGTTTTATTGGAATCGGTTACCGGAGAGTGCGCGAAATCGGATTCATCCCCTAGTTTGCCACTCTTATAGGTGGAATATTTTCTTAAAATTTACCACGATCAATACCGAGGTGCCCTCTTTCCAACAAAAAAGAATCATCAAAATCGGTTCACAAATTAGTTATCGAGCAACATGTATATAAAAACAATACAGATGAATTGAGAACCTCCTCTTTTTTTAAGTCGGTTAAAAAGGAAATTTTAACCATTTTTTTTTTTATGAAACGCGTATTATTTTATTAATTCAATACACAGCGGCAATCATCCCAATATTGTCGATGTCGTACTTTATTTTATACAAGATCGTTGACGGGATCAACTGTCAGTGATAAAGCGTAATTATTGTTGAACCAATAAAAGCACTGCACAAAGAAAAGTAGTGACATTTTATGGACGATACTATTTAAGTACTGTCCTTGAACGGGTTATTTAACCCGTTAACTTAGAACAAAGGCAAATTTATAGTACGAGGAAAAATATTTTAAAATAGCGTCCCCCGTCTTTCTAAAATAAGCAGCGACCATGTTGTTTAATGGTAGTTTATTCTTAACCACAAAGGTGATCACCTTATTAATATCGCTACCGTATTACCTACGTTCCAGTATCTTGAATACCTGAAAATAGTATATAGTTATATACAATACATACTAGATAAGTATGACAGTTGGTTGATAATATCAAAACTTACCCCAATAACAAAGTCTTGTCTATCACAAGTATCCAGGTGCCTCCTGAATTCCACAGTGGTATGTGTGTCATTCTGATATCCAGAAACTAGCTCATAGTTTTGCACCTCGTCTGCCACCGCTCTGTCGTCGAACGCCAGTCCATGACAGTCCTGAAACAAAGCCTTATTAAAATTTCTGCTCCAGATGACAAAAAGTTAAAAACTTTATTAGACTAATTTAATTTGAATTTTTTTGTTACGACAGGTGGGTGAATTTTTGAAACAGACAAAAAGTAAGATAAAGTTTAAGTGCTTTGGCAACTCCAGCAATTTGAAATAAGCTGCTTTTTTATGTCTACAGCTTAACGTAAAGCGTATATCTTAAATCGTCTTTATATTTACGTAAGAAAGACATGTTTTAAGGATTGTAACGCATTTTAGGTAAACGTTGAAGGTAATATAGTAAATATCTAATACATTAATTGTAAAGGATAATAAAGCCAGTATTGAAACAAATTTCTTGTCATAAGGTTAGCGATCCGATGATAAAAACACAAAAATGTAGACCTTTTACACAATTGTATAGGTATTATAACTTACACAGTGTAAAGTGATCACTTTACCTCACAGTAAGCCTCGTAAATGCAATCGATAATGCAAACAAAATGATAGCTAGACGAAACCTTACAATCAACCTTTTCGATAAACCACAACAATAAAAGCTCCCAGCGATCAACTAGCAATATAGCAATAATATTCTTTTGTGTTTGCAATATCTTTGAATTTTTGTCTACAATTCATCGGCTAATCCAAAGAAGAGTGTTTCTTATGCTGAGTGCATTAGACTGTAAGTTGGAACAAAAGTAAAGGAAGTATTAATATCTTTGAAGGAAACGGCAGATGATGGGAATAGACTCCGACAGATGTCTTCACAAGAGGTATGCAATAAAGTTAAATATTTTTTTTTTAACAGCAGATGTAGTGAGCACGCGCTTCGTGGCTCAGCACCTGGCTTCAGCCATAATGTTAGGGTCGATAACAAATGTCATATGGACAAAAATTTTGTCTTTTGTCGATTTCTGTAATGGTATATATGCTACTGAATAAGACGAAATACGTCATGTTCCAAGAATTAAACTGCTGATACTACTAAAGCACAAAAAAGATCAAATGACTTTGAGTATATGGGTATATTCAGGATTGAAAGTGGAGCTTACACACGCATATGGTTTAAAATATGGTCACCTACAGATCTTCATATCAGCAAGTTTATGACAGAAATCTTTGACGATAAAAGCAATAGAACGCTCAATACTTTGTAGACGTCGTAAAGTCAATGAAGAAACAGCTATGTAGAAATAAATCAGTATTGCATAAAAATGGATCGAGGGCTATAAAACGTTCGCAGGAAATGGAGTACCTAACTTTTTAAACAGACTTCAGAATGTAGAACTTTAAATTTTTTTCTTTGATAGATTTTAGTTCGTTGGTGATTTTCAAGCGGAATAAGCAATAAATTCATTTAAATAGACCATAAATTAAATAATAGCGTCACCAAATTGCAAAAAAGCGTTTAAATTTGGTGTAACTACTCTGCGTGCAAATTAGATTTGTATGTTTTAGGTGAGTAGACATACAAGGTTTGCACAGGATGTTGTTAAGAATGCTACAATCTTTTTATAACACGATAGCAAAGAAAATTATGATCTTTAGTCTCAATAAAATGGGTAAGCATATGTTAGCTGTCTTTCCAATCATGAACCACCATGTTTTAAGATGCGGAAGCATAAAAAATCTACAGAGATGTCTTTAAAACAAGTTGCGGACATAAAATATCAACAAATTGAGGATATAACTCTTGGAAGAGGTATTTCATTGAGCGTGGGAACGTCAAATGCGGCGCGAATCTGTGTTTCAATACATGCAAAAGCATGTTTCACATTTTGTACTTCCAAGGCGTCACGTAGAACACATAACGCTGTTCTGGGATATAAGTGGTATGGTGTGGGTATCTATGTCATTTAATAAGGCATTGTATAATAATGGCTTCCACATCATAGTTCACGAGTCATACATACCTAGAGGCTAAGATATATTGCCCAACTATTAAAGAGTATTTCTGGCATAAAGCTCAGTGTAGGACACTCATGCCGTTATAGATTTGACTACTAGTACAATTAGTTTGATTATCAAGACGAGGATAGAACTGTCGGAACATTAGAATGAAACGGTTTAACAACACAACATTTACGGCTTTTGCAAATGGCGGGTTTTTTTTTTTTACAGATTGCCAGCTATTCTTCTATAGATAATACAATTCGAACAAAAACGTTACAAAAGGCACAGACGCATGCAGCCACAATGTATTAAATATAAAATAATTAATTTCCAAATTCCAAAAATATTGCAGTTTGAATTCTTTTTTTTAACGCACACACTCGTGACACACACAGAGGTAGACAACCACAAATTACACCCAAGCTCATGTGAGAAATAAATGTAGGCCATACAAATCTTTCACCCGACACAGGAATCGAACCCTCTACCTCTGCGTGGCAGTCAGGCATGACAACCGTTCGGCCACGGAGGAAGTTAAATATATTCACATTATATATTCACAAAATAAATTTAGTAAAATATAGTTAAATTGCAAATGTTTATTTTTTTTATACTCCAAATTTAAGCGAAATATTCAGATTTTCAGATTTTTGTAGAAAAGTTTGTTTAGAAAACTTTTTGCTTAATCTTGACAAAATAAAAATTCATAGGGTGACAATGTTAAAAGCCCGTAAGCATAATTTAAGACATTACGGTCGAACTTGCCTCCATGACATGCTGACATGACTTGCTCGTAAACAGTGTCATGACACTGAAGTGTGATGAAAAATTAAGTTACTATTATATTAAAATTTATTATATTAATGTAATAATTGTAGCAGTGGAGTAAGAGATGTTGTAAAGAATTTGACAATTGTACAACATTTAATTAATTAAATTTAATTAATTTAATTTAATTTAATTAATCCTAAAAAATGCATAAAAGTAATAAATCCCTTCTCAAAAACAAATTAAGCCAGGATTCTGAAACAGCTATATTGTTGATTTTATTCACTTACTTTCTAATTGTACCCCAAAAATGTTTGATCTAAATTGGTTCATCTCTTGAATGACTTTTTACTATCTTACTAATTGTACGTAATAAGTAATTACCCAAATTATTATTAATTACTCGCAAGAATATTTCATTATTAAGTGCGGCTTCTTTTTCACTTGCCCAAGTCAAGCCTTCAATTTTTTTGTCTCATTAGTATAATCTTCTTTACCTTTATTAGCACAATCATCCTTTAGGGACTCTGAACAAATCTGACGAAATTTGTTTTTATTCATTAGTAATTAATGTAATCCATTATATTAGCCGAGTTTCAATACCCCAAAGTGGATTACATTAAAGTTGTTTGTATTGATGTCTTATTTGGCTACGTAAATGAAGACAAATGATGATAAACAGTTTTGAGAAAGCATTTTATCCGCACTTGTTTGTGTAAGATAAATTTCCTATGAAAATAACAGATTACCTTTCATTTAATTACAATACTTTAACATAAGAGGTTTGTTACGAGTATATGTAATAAACATTATTCTACCAATGAAACAAATAAAAAATGTAAGTCAAAAACTTGTTTAATTGTTACGTGTGTGTAACGTAGAGTCCGCTGAACGTTTAACTGAATCTTGCAGCTAGACCTTCGGCAATTATTTTCAAGAACGACGACCTCAGTGGCCCAACGGTTTGCACCGTGGACTCTGGATGAGGTGGTCCCGGGTTCGATTCCCGGTGGGACCAATTTAGGAAATGAACTTTTTTAAATTGGTTCTAGTCTGGGTGTTCCGTTGCTCTGGTAGTCATAGTACAGGGAATTTCCTAGTTAGAAACCAGGCAATTGGTGTGGTTGCCTGGCACATTATTAAACAAAAACTAGTACAAATTACCTATCATCACAACTTGAAAATAAACTACAGGAGTGTGAGAACTAAATTGCCACTGAGGTTTTGTGCGCTATTTTATGTTGTCATCAAACCTACATGAATTTACACATAGTACTCTTTTGTGATTGTTACGTCGTAGACTATTGAGCTCGATTAACGAAAAACTCTAAGAGCAACTTATCAATCACCAGACATTGCGTAAGAAGTAATTCCATTCCATTGTGCAATTTTATATCAAGTTCAAGCGGAAGCATTAAAATTCTTTCTACGTTCACACAAAAGAATAAGTTTTAAGAATCAGCCTGATGGTTTGCGCATGAGAATCGAGACACAATAGCTGCTACGTTAAAATGTCGACGTCATTTCGCAAAAACCTTTCTTCTTCGTTGTAGATTCGCCTTTCGTACAATGAAATAGGTTTCTAAAGAAATCTACCTGAACAAGGAATGCGCTATAGCGCTTGATCGAATTGCTATGCATGAGTGATATCTTGTGATATCTGTGGTATTTTTGTATGGGAAGAATTTTTACGACATAGTCGTAGTCGTGTGACACGTATTTTGTGTATAAAATATTTAAACACACGCATATTCTATAGCAAAAGCAGTATATTCAATACATGTATATTTACAAAGGAGGTCGAAGTAGGATAGATAAGAAAAATAAAAAAGCTATAAATTCTGAGGCAGTTACAGGTAAATTACTTATAAGTACGATCTGCGATGAACTCAATGTAAGTAAATTAAATAGACAAAAGATAATGCCACTACAATTAAATCTCAAACCATTCAAATTATTGGGAATCAAACTATTGGGATTTTCGCGGTCACTTTGGAATCAAAACTTTTTTTTTTCGGATCTAAACCGCGTATTTTTGTTTTTTCTCTTTACAGGTCCCATGGTCACGGCTGAATGATCGATTTAGATCTGAAAACATCGTATCATTGCCAATAATTCAGCATATCAGAACAACAAAGTACGTAATTCATATCAGTCAATTAATGTTAATGTTACAATTCTTTTCATATCCTTCAATGGCATTTATTACATTATTATAGACATACGAACTTATACAGGTAGTTCTAAGAGCGGTTACACACGGCGGCGGTTGCATGGATGCAAACGCGCGACTACATCGATGCAGTAGCTTATGTTGAATCATTACAATCGCGTCTGCATCGCGA